GAACCAGTTGTAGTTTGTTGTTGCCCTTTACCAACAACTGGAGTATACATTGGTGTTATACGAAGGATCACTCGTTCTACATTATACAGGATGAGTTGAAGAACTGCAACCAATTTCCGACTGCAATCATTTTTAAGCCATTTGTCCCACAGCTGTTAAAATTATTCCAGTGACTGCTCATTATATTGATTACAAGCGTACAAAAGCTTTTTGGTGACAATTTTCCACAAAAAAAGTTATTCGTGACGGAATTCATGCGTGATGGTGTGATTTCTTTATATTTGGCTGGAAAACCACATGTGGCTATCGTTAGAGCACTTCAGCATTCAAATGTGAATAAATCTTGTGTGTCTCGTGCCATCGTTCGTTACCGTGATACTGGTAGCGTGGCCCGACGTCAAGGAAGTGGACGGAAGAAAACAGCAACATCAGCAGAAATAGTTCGGAAAGTAAAGAAGCAACTTGATCGAAACCAGCGTCGCAATGGCCGAAAAATGGCTCGTGAGCTAAACATATTGCGATATTCCCCTCAGCACATATAAATGAGCTCGAGGTAAAGCCATCGCAACACAAAGAAAATAGACTCAAAAGAGCTAAAGAGTTGATTCGCTAGGCCCAAAATGGTGAACTGCCGAATTTGGTTTTCTCCGATGAGAAAACATTCGTTGTCCAGCAGTTTGTAAACAAACAAAATGATCGTGTTTGCTAGCCATAGAGGTCAGCTAAAAATGAGCACCTTTGCTGATAGTGTGGGTCGCCATAACAGCCGATGGTCGCTCTCCGCTCGTATTAATCGACCGTGGCATCAGAATAAATGCCGAATATTATCGCGAAAATATTCTGGAGGGTGTATTATAGGATTGGGCACGCAAACATTTTGGCGGCAGACCTTGGACATTCCAACAGGACTCGGCACCATCGCACTCAGCACGCGCCACCCCAGAATGGTTACAAAATGAAATTCCTCACTTCATTTCCACCAAAATCTCCGGATACCAATCCATTGGACTATTGTGTCTGGTGTATTATGGAAGGCAAGGTTGGCACAAAAAAATACCAACGTGTTCTTCACCTCAAGTAAGAGCTTCGATGGGAATAGGCCAAAATACCACAGAGCAACATTTGGGCAGCGTGTGACGGTTTTATTTGCCGCTTGAAGGTCATAATTCGTGCCAAAGGTGATCAATTCGAAAAAAAATCTAAACTTATTCTAAAATTTGATGCTATTTCCGATATTTTTTGCTAATATGATTTGTAGTGTAGCTTCAACGGACAAAACTGTTATTCATAGATTTTATGTAATTATTGGGTAAGTGGAACTAATCGGAAGACAATAAGCTATGAACAAAAAATTAATATTTTATTATATACGAACGGGTTTTTTTCAATTTGATTAACTTTATTCAACTGATTTAATTTGATTTAATTGATAACTGAAATGCAGGCGGGTTACATTGAAGTGCGGTATGTGGCGAAACTGAAAAGATGATATAGAAATAGTTTAACGCGGTCACACCAAACTTAAATTAATCTCATTGCAAAAATTCTAAAATCGGGAAAAAAATTGAGAAGAATTTTTTAATGGAATCAAATTTCAAATAAACTGCCTTTTAACATTTGCTGTAAAAAATCAGTGAAATATTTGAAGATTTTGTTCTTTTTATAGCCTCCACCATAGCACGGAGGGAATATTAAGTTTCTCATTCCGTTTGTAACACCTCGAAATATACATTTTAGACCCCACAAAGTATATATATTCTTGATCAGCATAAAGCTCTATGTCGATTTAGTGTTGTCCGTCCATCTATCCGTCTGTGGAAATCACTCTAGCTTCCGAACGAAATGAAGTAGGTTGATAAAATTATACTCAAATGTGTATTATGTCTGCAGGATTATCGGTATTGAAAATGGGTCATATAGGTCCACGTTTTGGTATAGCCCCCATATAAAGGTACTTCCCAATACTCGGTATTTTGGTGATTTAAGCGATATTATTCACCGGAATTGTTTCAAATTTGGTATTTGAAGTTCGTAATGGATACTGCAGCCTATGACAAAAAATTGTCTGTGCAGGTTCACGTCATCGTATAGCCCCCATTTAGGGTAACTCCCGATATTCGGTATTTTGATGATTTAAGCGATATTGTTCACCGGAATTCTTTCAAATTTGGTATTTGAAGTTCGTAATGGATACTTCAGCCTAAGGCAAAAAATTGTCTGTGCAGGTCCACATCTTCGTATAGCCCCCATATTGCGGTACCTCCTTATATTCGGTATTTTGATGATTGTAGCGACATTACTTACCGGAATTGTTTCAAATTTGGTATTTGAAGTTCGTAATGGATACTACATCCTAAGACAGAAAATTGTATATGCAGGTCTTCGTATAGCCCCCATATAACGGTACCTCCCGATTTTCGGTATTTTGATGATTTTAGCTACATTATTCAACGATTTTTTTTTTCAAGTTTCGCATTTGCATATTGTAATGGCTTATGACAAAAGTTGCCTATGCAGGTTCACGTCGTCCTTGAAACCCAAATTTTTAAGATTTTAACAGAATTTTTAACGGATTTCATGTTTTTAAAAATTGCCAAATTCGTTCCAACAGGTGTAGGATGTTCAAAGTTCGGCCCGGCCGAACTTACAGCTTTTTATTTGTTATACCCTACACCACAAGGTGGTCAGGGTATTATGTCTTTGTGCATTTGTTTGTAACAGGCAAAATGAAACGAGATAGACCCATAGTTCCTTTTGATGATCTGCATAGAATCACATTCTGAGTCGATTTATGCATGTCAGTCCGTCTGTCCATGTATTTTTGTAAACAAAGTACAGTTCGCATTTATTGTCCTATCCAGATGAAATTTTGCACAAATCATTTGTTTGGCCCAAGGAAGAACCCTATTGAAATTGGAGATAATCGGTCAAAATTTAGATATAGCTCCCATATATATCTTCGTCCGATTTGCCTTTTATTGTGCACCAAACGTGTAATATCAGGCCGAATGGTATGGAATTTTACACATAAAACCAGATTAGGCCTGAATATAAGTGTGCCAAATTTTATCGAAATCGGTTCAGATATAGATATAGCTCCCATTTATATTTTTCATCCGATTTGTTATTTTTGTCCTCCGCAGTCGTAATATGCACTCTGTAACAACAATATTTGGGGAAATATATCAAATACAGCTCAGAAATACATTTGCTAAATTTTATTGAGATCGGTTCAGATTTGGATATAGCTCCCATATATAACTTCGTCCGATTTACCTTTTATTGTGCACCAAACGTCTAATATTTGTCCAAATGGGATGGAATTTGGCACTTACGACCGAATTGAGTCTAGAAGCTAGTATATAAAATTTGGTGAAGATCAGTTCAGATATAGCTATAGCTCCCATATATACTCTTCATCCGATTTGTTATATTTGTTACCCACAGCTGTAATATGCACTCCGTAACGACGATTTTCAGGGAAATATATCAAATACAGTTCAGAAATATCTTTGCCAAATTTTATCGAAATCGGTTCAGATATATCTATAGCTCCCATATATATAGTTCATCCGATTTGTTATTTTTATCCTCCGCAGCTCTAATATGCACTCTGTAACAACAATATTTGGGGAAATATATCAAATACAGCTCAGAAATACATTTGCTAAATTTTATCGAGATCGGTTCAGATTTGGATATAGCTCCTATGTATAAATTCGTCCGATTTACCTTTTATTGTGCACCAAACGTCTAATATTTGTCCAAATGGGATGGAATTTGGCACTTACGACCGAATTGAGTCTAGAAGCTAGTATATAAAATTTGGTGAAGATCGGTTCAGATATAGCTATAGCTCCCATATATACTCTTCATCCGATTTGTTATATTTGTTACCCACAGCTGTAATATGCACTCCGTAACGACGATTTTCAGGGAAATATATCAAATACAGTTCAGAAATATCTTTGCCAAATTTTATCGAGATCTGTTCCGATTTGGATATAGCTCCCATATATATCTTTATCCGATTTTAAGTTAATTGTGCACCAAATGGGTAATACAAGTCCGAATTTAAAAGATACAAATGTCTCGGCATATTTTGTCCTTTGAACTTTAAATTATAATCATAGCGTGTATGAACTTTTAATTGTTATGCGGAGCTCTACTAAATTAGCAAAGTGGTGTAGGGTATCATAAAATCTTTACTGGTTTTTCTTTTTTGCGATGTTACAATTTTCAGACGGATCGAAGAGATGATATAATTTATTAAATTCGACTAAAAGCCGACGAAGTGGGATGTTATTCGCATAGTTCGAAGGAAAATATTTTATTTGTAGGATCTGATTGTTTCGAGATAGTTTAAAACCGCGACATTTAATTGCAAGTGCAACATAGGACTATAGTTGTCCAATAAACTTATGTTTGTTATATGTCTATAAAATTACCATACCAGTTTAGAGTTCAAAATTGAATTTGGAAGCAAATAGCCGTGTAAATTATTTGTCATAATCGTCAACTGTAGAATAGTACAACACGTGCATGCAAGCTATGCAGAAACAGAAAAAAGGGGTTAAGATAGCTTCTTTTTTTTTGCTTGTCAATACTAATCGGAAGTCAGAATCACCTTTTTGCCTAGTAACATTATACCGCAAGCTTGGTAGACAAACTTGTGGTCAAACACAATGCTGGCGCCAGAGAGAGAGAGAGAGAGAGAGAGAGGTAAACCGGATATAGTAACAATCCATTCATTGAACTGGTCGATCTGACCAAGTGCAACTTAAAAACCCAATTCATTCAAACTCGTTGCACTGTGCATGTTGAGGGGTCATTAAACAGCAGATTCAGCGTAATTTCCATTCTCAGCAATTATCTCAAAGCGGAGAGGAATATTGCATTCACATTATAGCAGAGAAACAAATGTTGCAAAAAATAATAGATGCATTAGTAAATAAATACATTCTTATTTTCTCTAATTTAAACATTTTAAGTTTAGTTATTGATCGGTCTCTTGCCGAACAAGTCGAAGTAATCTTTTAGTGAATTTAGTTAATATTTTTTTTTTTTTTATTTTTGATAAAATGATAACGATATTTACGTTGGCTATAATAGCGCTAACCTATCTAATATTCAAACGTAATTTTTCGCAATGGCAACGTTTGGGATTTCCAACCGATGAACCCTTTAAGACGCTTGTAAGACTAGTACGAATGGATCAACCATTTGGCCTTATAATGGCCGACATCTATGCAAGTTGCCGGGAGAAAGTAATTGGCACCTATATCTTCTTTAAGCCAGTATTAATAGTGAAAGACGTCCAATTGGTACGGCAAATTTTAAAATCAGATTTCGCCTGCTTTCATAGTCGCGGCATTTATGTGGACGAAAAAAATGATCCGCTGTCGGCAAATTTGGCAAGTTTGAAGGGAATGTCATGGCGTACGTTAAGAACAAAATTGAGACCATGCTTCACTTCGGAAAAACTGAAGGCAATGTTTGAAACTATTGATGGCGTGGGCGATGGGCTGATCAATTATTTAGAGTTCCAGTTGGGCGATGGCAACAGTCATAGTTTGGAAATAAAAAATTTATTGACAACGTAAGTAAGAAGCAACTATCAAACGTGGATATATTTTATCCACAAAACGTGGATATATTTTTATCCACAAAACCTGGTTATATTTTTATCCACAAAACATGGATATATTTTTATCCACAAAACGTGGATATATTTTTATCCACAAAACGTGGATATATTTTTATACACAAGACGTGGATATATTTTTTTATCCACGAAACCTGGATATATTTTTATTCACAAAACCTGGATATATTTTTATCCACAAAATGTGAATATATTTTTATCCACAAAACATGGATATTTTTTTATCCACAAAGCATGGATATATTTTTATTCACAAAACGTGGATATATCTTTATCCACCCAACCTGGATATATTTTTATCCACCAAACATGGATATATTTTTATCCACAAAACGTGGATATATTTTTATTCACAAAACATGGATATATTTTTATCCACAAGACGTGGACATATTTTTTTATCCACAAACCTGGATATATGTTTATCCACAAGACGTGGATATATTTTTTTATCCACAAAACCTGCATATATTTTTATCCACCAAGCATGGATATATTTTTATCCACAAAACCTGGATACATTTTTATCCACAAAACGTGGATATATTTTTATCCACAAAACGTGGATATATCTTTATCCACCCAACCTGGATATATTTTTATCCACCAAACATGGAACGATTTAATTTCCTCACCAACTTGAGTAACATATTGTAACATGTAGCTATGATAATTTCAATTCCAGCTATGCAACCGACATCATAGGCACAGTAATATACGGTTTGGATATTGACAGTTTCAAAAATCCGCACAATGAATTTCGTGATTTGAGCGATAGAATCTTCAATACAAAGAACTCTTCCATGCTGATCAAATTCCGCCGATTGATGGTCTTCCTTTATCCTCCGTAAGTACATGTCTAAAATGTGACGTTTAACTCTAGTAAGCGCGTATTTTCACTTTCAGTATTGTAACCCATTTGAACCGTTTGGGTCTACAAGACCCCGTATTATGCCGCCTTAGAGACATTATTAAAAAGAGAATTAAACTTCGTGAAAAAAAGGGGGTTGTGCGCAAAGATCTCCTACAGCTTCTTATACAACTAAGGAACACTTTGAAAATCGCCGGTGACAATGATACCGATTGGGCCATTGAACCTACGACGCATAACCTTAAATCAATGTCTATTGATGTGATAGCAGCTAATGCATTTCTTTTCTATATTGCCGGGTCGGAAACAACGTCAGCGACAACGGCTTTCACTCTTTATGAGTTGGCAATGAATCCGAGAGTATTGCTAAATGTTCAGAGAGAAATTGATCGTATTTTACAAAAACATGGTTTGAAGCCAAAGGGACCTTTAACTTATGAAGCTATTCAAGATATGAAATATTTGGATTTATGTGTTAAGGGTAAGTGAGGCATTTAATTACATAAACTATTTTTATTAAATAAATAATTTTTATTTTAGAAACCACCCGCAAATATCCTGCCTTACCTTTTCTCACACGTGAATGCACCCAGAATTATCGCATACCCCAGTCTGATCTCATCATACCAAAGGGCACACCAATTTACATTTCCCTTTTGGGTATGCACCGGGATCCTGAACTATTTCCCCATCCCCTAGATTACGAACCAGAACGTTTTATTGTTACGAGTGGTAATGACTTGCCATATATGCCATTTGGAGAGGGGCCCAGACAGTGCATAGGTAAGGAAAAAAACAATTATTTTAATATCAAAGGGAATATCCGTAAACCGTAAATCAACACAATTTTATTCCGAAATTTATTATCGATTTCGAAGATGGACAGTATAGGTACACTTCGTCTGGTACCTCTCACACAATAGATAGATAAAATAGAAGATAACATTGCTCCCTAATTTTCCAAACTTCACAAATCCGAATGTAAATATTATTGTATTTTTATATCCTCCACCATAGTATGGAGGGTATATTAAGTTTGTCATTCCGTTTGTAACGCCTTGAAATATACAAAGTATGTCCGTCTGTGGAAATAACTCTAGCTTCCGAACGAAATGAAGTAGGTTATTACAATTTTATTCAAATGTGTATTACGTATGCAGAACTTTTGGCATTGAAAATGGATTATGTAGGTCCACGTTTTGGTATACCCCATACAATGGTACCTCCCTTTTTCGTAATTTTGATAATTTTAGCGACATTATTCACCGGAATTGTCTCAAATTAGGTATTTGAAGTTCGTAATGGATGCTACAGCCTATGACGGAAAATTGTATGTGCAAGTCCACGTCTTCGTATGGCCCCCATATAATGTTACCTCCCTATATTCGGTATTTTGATGATTTAAGCGACACTATTCACCGGAAATGTTGCATATTGGGCATTTGAAGTTCGAAACGGATGCTACAGCCTATGACAGAAAATTTGCAGAAAAAAGGTTATTCGCGATGGCATTCAAGTGTGATAGAGTGATTTCTTTATATAGGGTGAGATAAAAGAAATTCCAACAAAGTCAAACGCCAAATGAAAGCAAAAAATGTCGGAAATAGCATCAAATTTTAGATTAAGTTTAGATTTGTTGGAATTGGTCACCTTTGGCACGAATTATGGCCAATGAAACCGTCACACGCTGCCCGAATGTTGCTCTGCGGTATTTTGGCCTATTTCCGGCGAAGCGCTTGCTTGAGGTGATCGACATTTTGGTATTTTTTAGTGTCAACCTTGCTTTCCAAAATACTCCAGACACAATAGTCCAACGGATTGGTATCCGGAGATTTTGGTGGCCATTTTCACATATCCTCGATTTCTTGTTGACTTTATTGTAAAATTGTTAAAAAATATATTAAGAACACCTGAAAAAAATCATGAATTTTCTAAACAAAATCTTTTAGGGAGGTCCTGGTAAAAATCAAAATGTAATAAAATGTATCCGCGATTACTAAGGATTTAACATAAAATTGTTTAAAATAATGTTCAGACCCAAAAATTTTCGATTTTTTTGGGATAGTTCGGCGAAGAACTTAAATTCTTTACCTAGAAGATACTGTTAAAATTTCTTGGATATTTCAACAATTTATTTTTAAGCACTTCTTAGCGAAAGAAATTTTGTGTATTTATTTAAGAATCTTCTTTGAACTTCCCTGCTAAAAATCGCGATTTTTTTAAGAATTTCCATTTTTAATAACACATTCTTGCAGGATTTCCTTACATAATTCTTGACGTTTTTCCGAAGGTTTTTTTAGACTTCCTCTTCAAATGTTGTGGATTTTGCAATAGTTAGTTTTCAAGGACTTCACGTAATAAATAATGGAACATATCTTGACAAAACCTTACTTTGCCAAAAAAATAATTAATTTTTTATTAATAAAATTTTTAAGGACCTGTTCGTTAAATAATCTTGGAGATTTTAAGAATATGCACTCTATTTTGTACATAGGAAAAATATAATTTTTATGCTATATAGTTAACATAAATATAACTTTAAGAGCCGGCAAACCAACTAATACTTACTAAAATTCTTAATTTTTTTCTTCCCTTCATTGCAGCTCAACATATGGGTGTGATGAATGTCAAAATAGCCCTGGTTAAAATTCTAGCCAATTTCAATATTAAGGAAATGAAACGAAAAGAAGTTGAATTTGCGTTTCATACAGCCTCCGTCCTGGTGCCCAAAAATGGCCTTCGTATCAAACTTTCAAAACGGATTTGAATCATTTATTTAATAAAATTTAATACATAAAATATTAGAATTTAATGAAGGTTAAGAGATTTTTGTGATACAGTTTTAAGACAAATATTCAATAAAAGGCAATTAAATGTTTCAGAAATGGATTCTAATCTCTTTTTATATTTATCTTTATACTTGTTATATCATCTAAGAGATTTTTTTTCCAATTCGAAATTACTCCCAAAAACTTGCACAACCCCTCGAGCCCGGCAGCAAATAATTTGCATACTATTAAATTAGATATTTGATTTCAATGCAATGAAATTTCGAAATAAATTTCGCCGTTGAACTTAGCGCACTTAGCAGTGAACACGTTTTGCCGTGTCATCAAAAAGCCATTAAATTTGTGCCCGAAATCTACCAACCAACCATCCAACCAACGCCAACATCACCACTGACTCGCCAAAATGGATAAAAGTGAAAATGTGAAGCTAAACGAAAAATAAAGTTCTCTATCGAATGTTGAACGGTGGTATAATTTATGAAGATTGTAATTTAAAGTACATTTGTCGCCACAAGTGAAAATAACAATTTTGTCACTTAACAACCAGGCTGTGTGGAGGCCAGCAGCCGAATTGCAATCACAACAGCAATGGAGGCAATATCGACAGCCACATCACAATTATCATCAACAACGTTCAGAGCAACCGACAAACAGACAGACAGACACACAGTCCACAATGGTAGATATCGACAGGATGCCAACAGATAACAATGGCCCAGGACCAGGCAGGACCGCATACAGTGCTACCTAAAAACAACAAAAGCAAGAACAAACAACGCAATGACTAAAGAGTTCATTGCCATTGCAAAATGTGCGGGACGAGTGACTCAATTGTTTGTGACCACAATTTGATTGTGGCCCCTGAAAGAGCTGCTGATGGTGTTGCTACACCAGCAGCGACATTCATTGCATCCTCAGCCTCATCACACAAAATAATAGGCGACTCTCTCTAACTCCCTCCACTTCTCTCCCTCTTTCCATACCTGCCACAATCGAAAGGTAACACAAAAGCACTAGGAGCTTGCACCTCGTCAATTGGTTGCAGATCTATACAGAATAAATTGAACAATATGTGTCGGTCTAAAGTCGGGCCATGCATTGATGGTATGAGAGCTTTTGCCAAGTACTTAAATTGTATTTGAAATATTTATGGCGGCAATTTACTAAGTGTTCTTTTAAGGAATTGGAAGTTTGGGGGAGCATTAATAAATTCCAAATGTATACCAACTTTCAATCATTTATTTTCAACATTTATATAAAAAATAATAATTTGGGATAACAAAAACTTTAGGAATGTCTTTTGAAGAGATTTCAATGACATTTATTTTCAGGATGTGCATCTAAAAAGGTGCTAAGTTTGTTCTGATCTAAAGAAAATGAGATAGGTGAGTACCATTTGAAACATATGCAGCTGGTCGAACTAGAAAATGAAAATGAGAAAACTGCAACAAAGTCAAACGCCATATTTTTTAATTTTTGTTTTTTAATGTTATTGAATGAAAGCAAAAACTGTCGAAAATAGCATCAAATTTAACAGATTTTAGATTTGTTCGAATTGGTCACCTTTGGCACGAATTATGGCCTTAAAACTGAAAATGAAACCTTCACACGCTGCCCGAATGTTGCTCTGCGATATTTTGGCCCATTCCCGGCGAAGCGCTTGTTTGAACGACACTTTGGTATTTTTAGTGCCAACCTTGCCCTCCAAAATACTTCAGACACAAAAGTCCAACGGATTGGTAACCGGGGATTTTGATGGCCATTGTGCGCTGGAAATGAAGCGGCAAACCTGATTTTGTAAACATTCTTGGGTGGCATTCTGAGTGAGATGGTGCTGAGTCCTGTTGGAATGTCCAAGGTCTGCGGCCAAAATGTTTGCGTGCCCAAGGCTTTAATACACCCTTCAGACTATTTTCGCAATAATATTCGGCATTTATTTTGATGCCACGGACGATTAATACGAGCGGAGAGCGACCATTAGCTGTTATGGCGACCCACACCATCACCGTAGCCGGCGCTTGAGTTCTGGTGGCCAACCGAAGGTGCACATTTTTAGCTGACCTCTTTGGCAAGTAAACACGATCATTTTGTTTGTTTACAAACAGCTGGACAACGAATGTTTTCTCATCGGAGAAAACCAAATTCGGTATTGCACCATGTTCGGCCAAGCGAAGCAACTCTTTAGCTCTTTTCAGTCTATTTTCTTTCTGTTGCGGTGTAAGTTCTTGCACTTTTTGAAATTTCAATGGCGTTACCCCGAGCTCATTTTTTAATATTTGCCGAATGGAATATTACGATATGTTCAACTCACGAGCCATTTTTCGGCCACTGCGACGCGGGTTTCGATCAAGTCGCTTCTTTACTTTTCGAATCATTTCTGCTGATGTTGCTGTTTTCTTCCGTCCACTTCATTGACGTCGGGCTACGCTACCAGTATCACGGTAACGAGCGATGGTACGAGACACAAAATATTTATTCAAATTTAAATGCTACAGTGCTCTAACGATAGCCACTTGTGGTTTTCCCGCCAAATATAAAGAAATCACACTATCACGCTTGAATTCCATTACGAATAATTTTTTTTCTGGTGAATTCTCATCAAAATGTTTTTGTACGCTTTTAAACAATGTAATGAGCTGTCACCGGAATAATTCTTACACCTGTCGGACGAGTAGCTTAGAAATGACAGCAGTCTGAAGTTGGGTGCAGTTTTTTTATCTCACCCTGTAGCTCCCAGATATGGTGTCGTCCGATTTCATAAGTATTAAGAACCAAATGCGTAATATAAGTCCGAATCAAACAAGAAAAACGGAAAAGTTTAGTCCAAAAGTTTGTCCGGCAATTTTGGTAAATATCGTTTCAGATTTAGATGTAGCTCCTATATATATTTTCGTCCGATTTCAATTGTATTGTAGGCTCAAGTGAAATAGATTTCGGCACATCCGATCAAATTCAGCACATAACTTCAAATTTGGTGAAAATCAGTTCAGATATAGCTTATATATGTTTCACCCGTTTGGTTTTTTAACCCTCACATTCCTAATATGCTCTCCACAACAATGATATTTCGAAACAGATATCAGATATAGCTCGGAAATACCTCTACCAAATTTCATTAAAATCGGCTCGGATTTGTATATAGCAATTCGGTAATTTACAAAATATGTCGGTACCTTAGTGACGAAATCAACGTAGATGCTAATACCTACCGATAGATACCAATGTTCTTAACTTATATTCTATTTTTCTATTTTATATCAAAATTTTAAAATGAGTTTGAGAATGTCACTGCCGGTTTGACCCTTATTATGCACCAAATATGTAATATCAGCACAAATAGGATGGATTTTTGCACATTCAACTGAATTTATCCCGGAAGCTATTGCTTCGATGTATATTATTTAATATAATGCTACTCGAGGACATATGCAGATATATGTATCTGTCCTCCATGCTAAATATAAAGTCAAATATAACCTAACGTTTGAATACAAGAAAGGGTTGCCTTGGATAGTAAAATTGAAACAAATTCGTGTGTAAATTTAATATTTTTTTTTTTTTTTTTTTGAAAAAAAAAAAACCGGTGATCTGTTTAATTTCCCGTACAAGCATATCCTTTATAATCACCACCCGCCAACCCTAACCTTCCATATTGTATTGCGCATTGGTACTACGACGATTGATGTTGCGCTCAACGTTTCTCTATCTCATAATCGACATTCGACTGACGTTTTACGTAATAAAATGGCAACAAAGCCAAACCACCCGTTGCCAAAAGGATATCCGTCTACGGCGTGGCTTCCGTTGCAATGATGAAAGCAGCAACCAATGCAATGAACCAATTTTAAATTTAACTTACTCCTCCACTTCGTTTGTTTGTTTGTTGGAGTAGACGTATGGACATAAAGTGTAAATAAATAATTGCTCTTTAAATGAGAAAATTAAATGTAATTGTGTAATAAAAAAAACACAAGTTCATTGGACAGCCAAAATGAAATATTGTATTTAGTAAAAATTTAAAACAAAAATGTAATAAATGTTCATACTTTTTGAATATATGGTTTTTGTATATATGGTACCGGCGTTTCTAAAAGTTTACATCGCAAAGTAACTGAAATAATGGGAAAAGGTTCTCCCCTCTTCCACACTTTTACATTTTAGATGTTTATGATTTCGACAATATTATGATAACATTGAGAGAATTATTTCGGTCAAAAAGTTACCCTCAAGCAAGTGACCAAAGGCGTATTTTTGGTTTTTTTTTTTTTTTTTTTTCAAAAAAAAAAAGAAGTAAAAAGCTATAAGCTCGGCCGGGCCGAACTTTGAATACCCTTCACCATTTAGTACACACTTGGCAATTCTCAAAAAAATAAAATCCGTTAAAAATTCTGTTAACATCTTAAAAATACCGAAATTATCCGTATATTAGGGTCTATACGACGGCGTGGACCTGCATATGCAACTTTTGTCACAAGCTATTACAATATTCAAATGCGAAACTTGAAACAAATCTGTTTATATTGTAGCTAAAATCATAAAAATACCGAATATAGGGAGGTACCATGGGGGTTATAAAACATGGACCTGTACAGACAATTTCCTGGCATAGGCTGTAGTATCCATTACGAACTTCAAATACAAAATTTAAAATAAATACCGAATATCGTGGGGTACTGTTATATGGAAGCTATACGAAGACGTGGGTCTACATGGTCCATTTTCTGTTTTATGCTGTAGTATCTATGTCCTGCAGACATAATACACATTTGAGTATAGTTTTATCAACCTACTTCATTTCGTTCAGAAGCTACAGTGATTTCCACAGACGGCCAGACATTGCTAAATCGACATAGAATTTTATGCGGATCAAGAATATATACTTTGTGCAGTTTAAAATGTATATTTCCAGGTGTTACAAACGGAATGACAAACTTAATATACCCTCCATACTATGGTGGAGGGTATAAAAAAAAGTTTAAAAACTACCTTTAAACGGGATCATTGCAAGTCAATATATGCCATAAAATTCAACTATAGGTCCAAGAAGACATAAAAAGTCTAAATCTTTCCTAAGCGCCAGTAATTTATATGCATTAAAAAAC